TTAGAGTTACGCTACTAGGACGCGCAAGCTTTTGGCCTCGCCAACTTGTCCGATCCAGTGCAGAATTAACTGCTGGGGAGATAAGTTTGGCATTTGGTCATGCAATGGAAGTTCGTCTGTCATGCCCATTGCGGAGTGGTGTTCCCCACTTTACACCATAGAATGCCTGTTTATTGCTTGTGTTTGTTGGGATAATTAAAGCATTACTCCCTAGGAACTGCAACATTAATATAATATTAGTGCTGTAAGTAGTGTAAGTGTTCGTCGTGTAAATAAAATTGCATAATTTGTAAAAATAATATTTTTAAAAAAGTAGCCTCTTCCAGGCATTCAGTTAATTGGGTCAAAGTGCAAAAAAATAGCAGAGCAAAATAAAGGGGAGAGAGGCTTGGTACAAGGAGTGAGCATTTTCTTGTGTTCCCATGCTCACTTCTCCCCTGCTTTTTTTTGCGTCATTTTTCTCCCTGCGCCCCAAGAGGAAGAGAGGCAATTAATTGAGCAACAAAGGAACAATAGTATTTAATTAAATAAAAAGATCCAGTGGATAACACCATAAGGGTAGTAATTTTAAACTGGAAACACATGAGCAAAAATATGAAGTATTGGATACGTGGATGAAAATACAAATTAGCCTCCATTTGGTGCAAACATGCTTGGATATTTGTCCTCGGACATTATCTGTTCTGAGAAGCAAGCCGTTTTCTGAGAACATCCCAGCATATTTTTGAGCCAAATGGAGGTTATAATTTGTGTTTATTGTCCTTCAAATATTTTTTGCAACATGTGCAATTTTGAAAATTGGGGAATATCGCTTGGATATTCTCCAGTTTTAGCTGGGGCATATTCAGTCGTGACGTGTTTAGACCAATCTTGTGCAAGCGAAAATGTCCAATGGATTATAAGAAATGATGTAGAATTAATCAGTGCATAAAATAGGATGACTAACCCTTTCCCTTCTGCCTCTGTAGCAGCCAAATGCAGTATGGGTCATAAACAATAAGTGAATTCATTTATCAGCTACAGGTTACACATTATTGTCATTTCTGAAACTGAATGTCTGAATGGTTGTGTCTTGGTGAACAGCCAGGACAATTTACTGCAAATACACAACAACCATATATTAACTTACAAACTATTTCTTCAATCAAAATAATAGAGAACTTCAAAATAATAATTATTAATAATAACTAATAATAATTAATAATTTTTAATGATAATTATTTTGTTTTCATCTAATTTAAATCTCATTCTTTTGTTCAGTGTTCGGGTGACATTGTTCCAGGGCAAGACATCACATGGGATCAAGTGATGGAGAAAGCACGTCCACATGACTGTGTCCCTGTGATGTCAAATGATCCTTTGTATATCCTATACACATCTGGTACCACAGGGGACCCAAAGGTACAATGTGCATGACAGCTTGAATGAAGAAAAGTTTAGCAAGCAGGTCCTAATTTACAGTTATCAGGTTGACATGTTTTCTGCAGAAATGTGGAAGGCATTTGTGTAATTTAAGTAGTAATTAAGAGGAAAAAATAGTACAAAAAATTTTTTGACAGTTTGTTCAAGCACAAGGAAAGCGAGACCCATGTGAAATTAATGTATGTCACATAGAGTTAATGTGTTAAAATGTATGTAGGCAAGCTAAATTATCATTTTATGGTTGTGAAAGTTGCTGACAAATCTTGCTGTCACTAGGTCTTGTTGATTGGACATAGACCTAGTTGCGGTTGTTACAAAACTTGAGGAGCAGATGTCTTTGATCTCATGTAAACGAGATATATTTATTTTTTCTTTTTTATTGGCTTGCTCAGGGTATTGTGCGTGAGAATGGTGGCCATGCTGTAGCCCTCCATTGGAGCATGAGAAATTTGTATGGCATTAATCCTGGAGAGGTAACTAAACACAAAATGCAATAACACTTCCTGTCATCACTATCTGATAATGACTACATTTACACTAGTTTGATTTCTCTTGCCTTTTTCCAGGTCTGGTGGGCAGCCTCTGATCTTGGCTGGGTTGTCGGTCATTCCTACATTGTTTATGCTCCTTTGTTGTCAGGTTGCACAACAGTTTTATTTGAGGTAAATGTACTACTACAAGATATTTGCTGGTAATTTCTTCTCTGTTAGTTTACCACTCTGTTTGTCAGTCTGTCTGTCAGATATACAGATGTGTACATTATATTTGGCCTTTTCCTAATGCTAGCCTGCATATGCAAACAATTCACATCTGTTGTTTCTGATGTTCTCAGAAACAATTTAAAAACAGACGGAGACGCAATTCTTGAATTTTAAATTGAACTGCTTGGTATTGCCACAGCCTCTGATCCAGCAGTCTCTAGTGATCTTCACTGACCAAACTGAAAATCATTTCTTCACGTTATATTTAAACTAAACTTGTTAGCTAGTTGTGTTGTATGGGAAATCTAATACAGATGAACTGCAAATTATGTGAAGGATGTGTGTTGTTTTTGCTACTATTTTATGTGACATGGTTATGATACGCCTATGCCACAAGCAGTTACATGAATGAAACCTCAACTACCCTGGTTGCAGAGTTTTGTCAATAAAAAGTAAGCTATGAAGTGGCAAAAATGAGACACAAGTAGCAGCATTCAGTACAAAGGTTTGACTAAGTGAGACCCAAGTCATGTGCAACGGTTGTAAGAGAAAAATACTCAGGATAATATAGTACAGACAGTATAGACAGACAGTACATTACTTTCCATCACCGTCTAAAAATATTCAAGTCTCCTTTGTGAAAATACAAAATAGCAGTAAATGACAATTATACAATTATTCAATATTCGGGCACTACGCTTCATTTTAGACCAGTTTCAAGAGCTTGGCATTGTAAAATCTTTTACCATCTTAATCTTTTAATAATGTTATGTAGCTTAATGATATTTGTACTCTGACGGTTTTCTGGTTAGTGAAATCTTTGCTGATTAGCCCAGTTCTTGTTTACTTGAAGTTGACTTCTCAGTAACTGGATGTGCTCTCTTGTGTATCTGATAGTAGCTAACACTTCTTTATTGACATATATCTGTTAAACAAAAAAAGAAAACAAAAAAAAATTAAAAAGATCATCACGAGAAACAACTGATCAACCACTTGTGAGCTTAAATCTATGTCGTTGTGTATAAAAAAAAACAGGCATGGTTCATTTGCAACTTCAACAGCACATTTTGTGTTCGCTGTGAACTATTCATTTCTATGTTTATGCTACGATATTTAGATAGTTACGAACCTTTTTAGCCTTCCTTAAAGCCTTTTTATCCTTCTCTCGTTCGCCTTTTGAAGAACTTGTCTCATCTGTGCTACTTTCCTTTGGTGACGACGGGAAACAGTACACATCTGGCTCTTTCCCTTTTTTTGAGAGTGACTGAACGTGATCTAGAGTAGCGTTAAGCGGCTTTATAGTTGTTAGACTGGGACAACAGTGCACTGTTCGTCGCTGGAACTGAAGAACTGGCTCCAGTTTTTTCATCATTCCAGAGCTTATTAATGGGGCAACTTTCTGGAAACAAATGAGTGAGAAACATTTTCATTGCGAATGGACCTCCTGTTTGCACGATTACGTGCAACACGAAAGTTTACAAAATGTACCTTAGAATTCCCGGACACCGTTCTGGAAGAAGTTCCTTTACGTCCTGGTTTTGCAGAGGGCATTACTTCTTTTCTCTTCAGTTGCTATAGCATAATACAGAGTACAAAATAAGCTAAAATGTCCGCGGTATTTTCAACGCTATAAACTTTACTTCGCACACTTTCCCGCCCAAACTGACACCAGCAGTGCCGCCAACCAACACCGAGGATAAGGGCCTGAGACTAGCTGATGATAAGCGGGAAATCTTGTAGAAATTTCGCTTTCTGCCCCATGAAGATCNCGGGTAGGCGAGTTATAAACTTAGTTAGAGACACAATGGTTCTTCTTACAGTTGAATGCATAGAAGTCAATTCAATACGAAGTCCTTCATTGTCGTAGTTAGCCGGCAATAGCAAATCCAAAAAACTCCTGTAGCCATCTTTTTATTGGTTTTCCATGCTTCTCTACCAATCAAAGAACAACAGCTGCACGTGAATTTTATCGGCACGCAGCTACGTTGACATCTTAGCGCGCTTAACAGCCACTTCTCCCAGAACAGTTAGGTTTTTGAATGACCTAGTAGGAAACCGACCTAATGGTGTGACAGTGAATTTATCAAGTAAAAAAAACCCAGCTCCTTGTTTTGTTGTGTTTCTCTTGTGAAAGGAAAATAACAAAGATCATCGTCCCGGAAAATTTCATCGCAGAAGCCCAAAGCTTAAAGTTTCACTCAGATAAACTTAATGGGTCGCCAATCACGGATAGACAGAGAAATAGACATAGAGAAAACAATTTTTCTTGGATAGTTTTGTCCATGGGACTTAGTTCATTGTTCCCTCTCGTTTAGATAGCCATGATTTAAAAAAAATATAGATATTGATAATATAGGTAGCGTTATCTTGCCTTCTCGAGTAGTCAATACCACGGATAAAGATTTATTTCATCTTTCCCGCTTGTGTAGGTAGCTACGTTATAAAGACTATTGTTTGTGTGTAGTACTACCAGAATGCAAAACACCTGTTTTATTGCTCTTGTTAGTTTTCGTGACCTGTTTGTCGCTGGGGAACACATGGACAAAGATACCATGGCGTGGACTAGGAAAGCCATCAGTGCACCAGTGTACGATAACTGGTGGCAGACTGGTACGGTGATATCGGATTTTTTAACTGATTTTTT